ATGTCATAAAGGATATTGATTAAGTTCTGTTTGACTAAAGATAACCATGGACAGAGAGTTAGTACAGATGGAACTCTGGGGAAATGCACTTCAGTAAACACGGATTGAGTGTGAGGTCCCTCCCAAGTACAAGCTGAGGTCTAACTTGTATCACATTGTCAGTTAGGAATCATTGCACTTAACTTGAAGTTTTAGCTCTTCTAAAACACCCATATTGTATGTTCTAAATCAGTAAAGAAGTCCTTTTTGCAAGGCCTAAGAAGTTCACCCAGGCATCCAGCAAGATGAATTCAAAAGTCTGCTTGATTTATATCTCATATATTACAGCCATTTCTTAGAAGCAAAGGCATGTACTTTGGAGGCAGTTTCACTCAAGACTGAATCTTGGCATTGTCTCTACTAGCAAGAGAGGGTAAACTGTGCTAGGGATGAACAAAGATTGACAGAGGAAGCTAGGTCAAAAAACAATGGAAGGATTCAATCGTGGCTTGGTCTTTAATGTGGGAGCGACACGGTGCTATGACACAGAATTCATTGTATTTGCTGTGATGGGAATGATATAGATCCAGGGCTGGGAGGAGGACATGGTGAAGTGTAAATGTATGAGGACTGGGGAGCCCTTCTCTTTGATACTACTGTCTGCAGGTAGACCACTCAGGCAGATAAGAAGCAGAAGCAGTCTTTACTTGGATGGAGTCATCTCTTGCATAGACAGATTTAGAAAGTCTTTGATTATTGACCATTCGCTGCCACACAACACTTGTACATACTTGCACACTGTGCACACTTAATAACACACCTAAACACTCTTCACTCACTCTCACTTTCTCTCTCGCTCTTTAACTCACGAAACTGTAAGGTTCTGGAGCCACTGTAATGTTCAGGTTCAGGTTCACTTCTTTGTCCTTAGGTCTTTCATAGTGCCTGGCCAATTCCCTGCACCACTCATTAGCTTTTTAACCTTGACTAAGCTGCCTCATTATCCTTTTCCTGAAAGATGGGAAAATCAGTACTTCTGTA